TAATACAGGTTTTTCCTCTATATTTTACCAATTCCGTTTGATATCTCTAACAGATAGTACAGCCTATCCTTCCTTTTAAACTGGGAAGGAATCAATCACATCAAAACTGAATTTCTCTAATTGATTTTCTGGTTAAAAATTTTTACTTCTAGAGCAACAATAAATAATCATATTGTGGTATTTTATCACAAGTATGAGTTAATTTTGAGTATGGTGTAATCCCTCCACGTATATGTTCTATCTTTTCCTCTTAAACTTTATTAGCTATTTCCCCTCTGCTTGTATGAAAAGACAAAAAAGTTTTCAGATTCACTTGTTCCTGACAAAATCTATCTTCTCATACTAGTATCCTTTTTAGTTTTGACTTGTTCCAAAAGATCGTCCATCGCGTTAAAATAAATGAACAATTTTTTGTTACTAGTTCGAGTCGAATTGTTATCTCTTTTACAAATTAACCTCTTTATGCCTTGTCGCGTGATACCTTTCATTAAGTGTAATACCTTTCGCGTGATACCTTTCTGCGTGATGCTTTTCTGCGTGATGCCTTTCGCGTGATGTCTTTCAGCGTGATGCCTTCTTGTGTGATGCCTTTTCGTAAGATTCCTTTAGGCGTGATGCTTTTCAACATTTAGCGTGATGCCTTTTAGCGCGATGCATTTTAGCGTGATGCATTTTAGTGTGATGCTTTTTGGCGTGATGCCTGTTTGCGTAATGACTATTTGTAGAATCGGCTAGTTGCCACTCAGCTTTTGATTGATGCATGTACAATTTGGATAATTTGATATCAATTACTGAGGACTGAATTTTGTCATAGGTACACCTCCATAACAATGGAACAAAAACAGACTAGAGTGCTCAACAATAGAGTTCTTTAAAGATACCGCATTATGCAAATTTGAGAAGAGACTGTCGCGAACTTTTTTTTCCATATTATTATAGTAGAAACGATACTCTTTTGCACAGTACTTGTTTTAGTTCCATATCGGACATACCAAGATGCGTTTTAAGCCCGTAAAAGTACGCAATTTTTG